ATTTGTTCGATTTTATCAATCTTCCGATTTTTAATTTTTCAATTTTTCGATTCTACAGTTTTTGGGTTTTCCAATTTTTCGATTCCATTCGGCTTTTTACTTTTCAATTTTGGTTCATTAATTTTTTCGATTTTTAAGTACTCTTATTTAGATTTGTTGTTTATTTTTCGTTTCTTCGATTCTCCGATTTTGGAATTTTTCGATTTTTCAGTTCTTCGATTTTTCAATTGTTACCGATTTTTTAGTTTTTCGATTTTTCTACTCTTCGATTCAAAAAAATGGAAAAAACAAATTGTAAAATTAAAATATTAAAAATTAAAAATTCAAAATGTATAAAATGAGAACCTTGAAAATCGAAAAAGTGGAATTCAATTGAAGAAACGATAAATTGAAAAATCGACATTAAAAACTGAGAAACTTCAAAATCAAAGAATACAAAATCGAAAAAACGAAATACTGTAAAATCGAAATAATGAAAATTAAAGAAATCGAAATGTCGGATAACTGAGAAATCCAAAAATTGCAAAACAGAAAAATTTAAAAATAGGAAAATCGAGGAAAAAAATTGAGAAAATGAAAAATCAAAGACTGAATTAATTATAAAATCGAAAGAAAAAATAAATAAAATGAAAAAACGAAAATTTGTGTTATAAAATCGAGAAAATTAAAATTAAAAATTGCGAAAATAAAAAATAAAAATCAAAAATTAAGGAAATGATTGAAAAATTGTAACATGGAAAAGTTGCAAAGTTGAAAAATTGAAGAAACGAAAAGCTGAAATATGTGGAAGTCGAGAAATTGAAAAATTCAAAAGTTGGAATATTGAAATTCCAACTCCTGAAAAGTCTAAAAATTGAAAACAATTTTTAGACTTCGCAATTTTTCGATTTGAGTTTCACGAGTTTTTTATTTTTAATTTTTTTATTTTTTAAATTGTCAGTTTTTCATGTCTTAAATTTTTCGATTTACAGTTTTTTGTTTCGGTATTTTATTTTCTTTCTTTTTTTTTCTAATTTTTCTTCTAATTTTTCTTTTACTCAAGGTAAAATTTCTCAATTTTTGATTTTGATTCCAGTTTCTCGATTTTTCAGTTTGTCTAATTTTCATTTTAAATATGTATCTAATCATGATAATAATTTTTAAAATTTATGGCTTTTTCAACTTTAGTTTTTCGATTTTTGAATGTTTTTCAACTTTCCAGTTTTGACGATTCTATAATTTTCCGATTTTACAATTTTAAGTTTTCCAACTTTTCAACCCATTAATTTTTTTAGATTTTTAAGTTTCCCGATTTTTCAATTTTTTCCGATTTTTTTTATTTTTCGATTTTCAACTTTTCCAATCAAAAAAATGGAAAAATTCCGAATTGTAAAATTAAAATATCAAAAATGAAAATCGGAAATATAAAAAATGAAAACCTTGAAAAATCTAAAAGGTGGATCTCAAGAACTTGAAAAATTGAATAAAAGAAAAACTGAAAAATCGAAATATTAAAAACTGAGAAACTTCAAAATCGAAAAAGTGCAAAACCGAAAAATCGAAGTACGAAAAGTCGAAACAGCAACAATAGTTTGAAAAATCCAGAAATTGAAAATTTTCCGAAATTGAAATGTTGAGAACTTGACAACTTAAATAATCAAGAAAGAGAAAATTCGAAGGCCGAAAAATTTTTAAAATGGAAAAACAGAGAAATCGGGAAATTAAAAAGTTGAAGTAAAAAATTTTTCAATTGGGAAATCGAAACATCAAAAAATCTTAAAATCGAGAAATTGTAAAAAATCGAAAAAATCAAAAATTAAAAAAACTAGACCTCGAGAAAGCGCAAAATTGAAATATTTAAAAACAAAAAAATCGAAAAATCAAAAAATCAAAAAATTTAAACATTCCAGAACGAAAATGTCGAAAAATTGAAAAATCCAAACATCGAAAAATTTTAAAAAACGAAGAAACGAAAAACGGAAAAGTCGAAAAATCGAACAATTGAAACAGGAAAAAATTCGCCCAAATTCGATAAATCGAAACATCCAAACAGTAAAAAATCAGGAAATTGAAGTGAAGAGAAATCTCGAGAAATCGAAAAACTGAAGAAATGAGAAATTGCAAATTCGAAATGTTAAACACTGAGATACCTCAAAATCGAAAAAGTCCAAAATACGAAAAGTGCAAAATCGAATACACAAAATATTGTAACATCAAAATATTGAAAATTAAAGAAATGGGAAAATAGGATATTTGAGAAATTAAACATTTTCAAAATTTAAAAATAGGAAAATGGAGGAAATGAAAAATCAAAGAAAGAATCAATCTCTGATTTCTCATTTCCTCGATTTTCAAATTTCCTTATTGAAAAACTGAATAAACAAAAAATTATAAAATCGAAAGAAACGTTGAAAAAATAAAGGATATGAAAAATCGAAAAATGGTGTTATAAAATCGAGTAAATTAAAAATCAAGAACTTGAAAAATTGAGGAAATGAAAAATTGAACAATAAAAAAATTTAAAAATAAGAAACTGAAAAATCGAAAAATGAAAATTTGTAATATCGAAAAATTACTAAATCGAAAAATTGCAAATCAAAAATTGAAACAACGAAAAATGAAAAATTTGGAAGTAGAGAAACTGAGAAATTGAAATATCTAAAAATTCAAAAATCGAAAAATCAAAAAATTGAAAATCCCAAAACCAAAATGTCCAAAAACCGAAAAATCCAAACATCGAAAAATTTAGAAAAACGAAAAAAGGAAAAGCCGAAAAGTCGAAAAATCGAAGCATCGAACAATTGAAACATGAAAAAAATCAATAAATCAAAAAAAAATTCAAAAATCGGGAAATTCAACTGAAAAATCGAAACATCGAAAACTGAGAAATCGAAAAATTGTAAAATTGAAATATTAAAAATGCAAAAACAAAATCTACAAAATGAAAACCTTGAAAAATCTAAAAAAAAAATTAAAATTAATAAATCGCGGAAATAAAAAATAATAAATTAAGAACTTGAAAAATTGAGGAAACGAAAAATTGAAAAATTAAAAAATGAGAAACTGAAAAATCGAAAATAATCAAAGTTGCAAAAACGAAAAATTAAAGAATATGAAAGAACGAAAAATTGTAATATCAAAAAATTAATGTCAGTAAATCCAGATTTTTCGAAAAATTATGATTTGATTTTGTGAATTTTATTTTTTATGATATTATATTTTTGCAAAGACATATGTGCATCAGATTAGGCAGATGCAGTGCAAAATTAATAATAACAGTAAAGTATTCCCAAATTTTTGGAAAAATGGAGTAAGTCGTTCTTAATTTCAATACAATAAACTGCTTCATTCATTATTTTTTTTAATCACCCTGTATAAATGTTGTGGTCAAAAACCTCATAGTTTTGTAATGTCATAATTTCTTATTTCTCCGTTACCTCGGAAAATATTCGTACTGCTTGATTTGTAAACCTAACAATAAGTAACTGTAAAAATTTTGAGTGCATTAATGAACCATAGGTGTAGTAATAAGATTTTGCATATTTTAATTTTGAGATGACGTCACCAACTTTTTGAGAGGGGATAAACGAGTAAATTTTGATTAACTATTTACCATGATTACGACAACCTTTAAACGTTTGCAAGATATCAGAGCATTCGGTCTTGCAGTTTCAAAGTTAAACTGCAAAATGTTATTATACACTTTTGATTTTTTTTTTCCAAAAATCTGGATGCGTAGAGTGAAAACTCAACACGGATTCATGCACTACAAATACAGAAGTGCCTTATTTTATAAAAATAAAAACAAATTTACTATTGCAAATTTTGGCTGGCGTGTTACTTTCTACATGATAGTCCTAGATATTATTGTCTTCATGAAAGTTACGAAAAATATTATCAATTGATTCCGAAAGGCATTATTAACCTGAAAACAGAGATGTCGATAACATCAATGACGTCAAGACGGATCTTGTGACGACTGAGTCAAAGAACTGAAATTACAACTTGTTTTCGTTACAACTTGTCAAATTAGGGATAAATGTCACACAAGATGGACTGTAGATCAATAACAAGCAAACTGTAACGAAAAATAACGTATATTTAGTCGACACGAGTTTCGAAATAACAAGAATAAACGTACAAAATTCCACAGAAAGTTAAAAGTATGGCGTGGTATACGTTTCTTACGCGGAAATCCGAGTTACGCTTACTCATTTAAATAGCTACCTACTTTATGTTATCCATAAAGTAGAAACTTTCTAGAGTAGACCCATAAAGCGTCGAAACCGCAGTACATAGCGTTATATCAATACTCATTTCCTGTATGAGCAAATGTAATAGCTGCATCGATTTTTCACCAAAAGTAAACACAACACACATCCTATTAATTTCATTAATATTTTGGTTACCGCTAATTCTGCAGCTTTAACCCCTGGAGAATTGTACCAAAAGTAAACATCGAGCACACCATAAATTACTACATGTTTCGAATCCACCCTCGAACCTCCTCCTTGTCATTTTCTTCATCAACTTGCTGCGGGTTCGTTATTGTAAACCAACTAAACACAGAACCGTAGCCCGGGGTAGCTTCTGACGTTGGAATTCTCCAAAAATTTAACTTCAAAAAAGAATTTCCAGATTTTATTATTCGGAAATGTTTAAACTAATTTGAAAGGACAACAGTCTGTCGTCATGAGATCCTATACAGCCGTTTTAGTACCAACCTGAGATTATTAGACAAATAGAGTTAATTGGTTGGCTTCGACAGTGTACCAAATTGAAATTGTCATAGTAACCCTTTCGTTAAGAAAAATTTCATCAAAGTGAAAAAGATACAAAATTCAAACGATGCGTTACCCAATTTACACCCAGCGCATTTTTACTGCGTCCGGGCCTGTCGGCCCAACACCCGATATCAATAAGGAAATTCGAGCGCCACGCCGGGGCCCTTTTTCATAAATTTTAAACGAGCCGGTTTTTCCTTTCCTGCAACGTCTATTAACGTTCGACTTTCTTTCCAGTATCGGATTTCACACAACAGTTGGGTCAGATGTACGAACAGCATGCCGAAGAATTACAAATGTTGGTCGCGAACTTCCGTAAAAGAAACGGCGAACTGAGGAAAGAAAGGTAAAAGTTTTAATTGGCACTTTCAGGCTCCTGATGATCCTACGTGATTTCTGCTGATTCTGAAGGCGTCTTATCTCGTAGGCCGGCGTGTCCAAGTTCGTTGTTCCACACATGGGAGACGCTGCTTCAAGAGGTGGAAATTGATTCTCAAGCTCTTGGCGATATCGCGTCGATCTTGGGGAGGCAGGTGTCACGGCCGCTTCTAGAGAGGTCCTTCCACAGAAAGATACAGTCCAGGAAAGTGTTCACACACCGGGAAAGCTATGAGACGATCATAGCCAAGACGGAAGAAAAACTGGTTAAGGTGCGTAGTTCGGGTGTTTTATTGCTCCGTAAAAACTTGCGGATGGTGGTTGTTTTTCTTTTTGTGTGCGGGAACTTTTGTTTAATCAAAAGTTTATTTTCCACTTAATGTGAGAAATATGTTTTTTTCGCCATATGCAAGGGTTTTCCACTTGTTTGTTTGCACTTTTATGAAAAATTATCGTTTATAACTCCCGCGGCATCTTATAACTTCACCTTTTTTATTTATTTTATTAGCTTGTGGGGTCGCTAAATTTTTGTCTAACGAGACCAAAACGTTGCCACCAGTTTATCCACAGCTTGTGATTTGGTGAAATAAAAAAAAATCATTAAAAAACTATGTAAAGTTTTAAACAGTACAGACAGTTCAATAAAATTTTGAGATGGCGTCAAAAATTTTTTGAAGGTGATTATCTAATAAATATTTTTTTAAATCGCAAACACTACTCGTATATTAATAACTATTAGGTAACGTTTTACCCCACTTTAATGTCATTTTTTTGATAAATCGTAAATTTTGATTGTATTTCGACGGAACTTCCCTCGCCCCTAAAGAGGAGCACAACAAACACCCGTTTTTACGAAAAATTGTACTCGTAATTTCCTTTTTTGATTTTGAAACAACGAAAAACTGAAAAATCGAAATACTTACATATCGAAAAATTGAAAGATCGAGCAGTTGCAACGTCAAAAAATAGAAAAATTGAAAAATACAGAAATTGAAAATTCTCCAAAACTGAAATGTCGAAACTGGCAACTTAAAAATCGAGAACGAAAAATCGAAAGGCGAAAAATTTTGACAATCGAAAAACAGAGAAGCCGGGAAATCGTAAATTCGAAAAATTGAAGTAAAAAACGAAAGCGAAAAGTTGAAAAATCTAAAAATTGAAAAATCGAAACATCCAAAAATTTGTATAAACGGAAAAATCAAAAAACCAAAAAGGCGAAAAATCGAGAAATTGAGAAATCGAAACATTGAAAAAATTAAACATCGAAAAATTGAAAGGGGAAATCGAAAATTCAAGAAGCCTAAAAGTAAAATAATGAGAAATTGTATTAACCCAAATTCGATTAATCGAAATATCGAAAAATTAAACAATCGAGAAAGTAAATAATCTGAAAATCGAGAAATTGAAAAACCGAAAAATCGAAAAACTGAAGAATTGAAATATTGAAAAATTCCAATACTGAAAAATCTAAAAATTGAAAAATGGAAGAAAAATTGAAAGATCCCAAAACTGAAACTTGGGGAAATTAAGAAATCGAAAAATTTAAAAATTGAAAAATCGAAAAATGGAAAAATCAAATATCGAAAATTTAAAAATTTAAAAAAGAAAACAAAAATTAAACAACTGAAAATTGATTAATCAAAAAATCGAATAATTGAAAAAAGCACAATGTAAAATTTAAAAAATCGAAAAAAAAAATTCAAAAAACGAGATCGAGAAAGCGAAAAATTGAAAAAGCTAAAATTCAATAATCGAAAAATTGAAAAATCAAAAAACCAGGAAAATCCCAAAACAGAAATAGCGCGAAAATCGAAATATCGAAAAATTTGGAAAACAGAAAAACCGAGAAACCGAGAGATCGAGAAATCGAAAATTCGGAAAATCGAAAAATTTAATTAACAAATTTTAAAATAGGGAAACTGAAACATCAAAAAATCGTAAAATCAAAAAATTGGAAAAAGAAAAATGTCCAATTTAATAGATCTAAAAAAGTGAAAGATCGAAAAATTGAAAAAACAAAAAATTCAAGAATCGAAAAATTGAAAAATCGAAATATTGAAAAATTTGGAAAAACGAAAAATCTAAAAACCGAAAAATCGAGAAATTTAGCAATCATAAAATTGGAACCTTTAAAAACTGAAACACCGAAAAAATGAAACATTGAAAATTTTAAACGAGAAATCGAAAAGTCAAGAAGTTTAAAAGTTAAAACATGAAAAATCGAATTAGCCCAAATTCGATTAATCGAAGCATCGAAAAATTGAAAAATCGAAACATTGAAATCTCGAGAAATTGAAAAATTTGGAAAAACGAAAAATCTAAAAACCGAAAAATCGAGAAATTTAGCAATCATAAAATTGGAACCTTTAAAAACTGAAACACCGAAAAAATGAAACATTGAAAATTTTAAACGAGAAATCGAAAAGTCAAGAAGTTTAAAAGTTAAAAAATGAAAAATCGAATTAGCCCAAATTCGATTAATCGAAACATCGAAAAATTGAAAAATCGAAACATTGAAATCTCGAGAAATTGAAAAATCAAAAATTTTAGAAATCGAGAAATTGAAAACTCGAAAAATCTAAAACCGGGAAGTCGAAAAATCGAAAGATCGAGAACTCGAAATATCAAAAAAAAATGGGAAATCTAAAATTTTAAAAATCAAGAAATCGAAAAATTGAAAAACGGGGAAATTGAAAAATTGAAAAATTCCAAAACTGAAAGATTGAAAAATTGAGAAACCGAAAAGTGGAGAAATCGAAAAATCATTGAAAAATCGAAAAATGGGAAAATTGAAGAACGGAAAATTGAATAATCGAAATGTTGAAAAGTTTCAATACTGAAAAATCTAAAAACTGAAAAATGGAAGAAAAATTGAAAGAGCCCAAAATTGAAACTTCGAGAAATTGAGAAATCAAAAAATTAAAAAATCGAAAAGTGGAAAATTCAAAAAATCGAAAAATGGAAAAATCAAAAATCCAAAAATTTAAACACTGAAAAATTGTGAAAACAAAAACCAAAAAACTGGTCATTGATAAATCAAAAAATTGAATAATTGAAAAAAATAAAAATTGAGAAATCGAAACATCCAAAATTTCGAAAAATCGACAAATGATAAATTGAAAAAACTAAAAAATCTAAAAGTCAAAAAATGTAGAAATCGAGAAATTGAAAAATCAAAAAATTGAAAAATCGATTTACTGAAAAATTCCAATTTTGAAAAATCAAAAAATTGAAAAACGGAAGAAAAATTTAAAGATCCCAAAACTGAAATTTGGAGAAATTAAGAAGTCGAAAAATTGGGAAATCGAAAATTAAAAAAATCGAAAATTCGAAAAATGGAAAAATCAAAGATGGAAAATTTAAAAACCGAAAAATCAAGAAAATAAAAACGAAAAAACTCAAAATTGAAAAATCGAATAATTGAAGAAATGAAAAATCGAGAAATCAAGAAGTCGAGAAATCGAAACATCGAAAATTGAAAAATCGAGAAATGAGAAATTCAAAAAACAAAAAAATCGAAAAGTCAAAGATTCGAGAAATAGAAAAGACGAAGAATCGAAAAATCGATTCATCGAGAAAAACCGAAAAATCAAACAATCGAGAAATCGTAAAATCGAAAATTTAGAAATACCAAAAATTGAAAAATGGAGAAATCGGGAATTCGAAAAATCGAAACATCAAAAATTCGAGAAATCGAAAAATTGAAAACTCGAAAAATCTAAAACCAGAAAGCCGAAAAACCGAGAAATCCAAAAATTGTCATACAACTTTGAATTTTTTTTTACAAAAATCTTAATGTCTAGGATAGAAATTCAATACGGATGGATAAACCACAAGTTCAGGACTACGTAACTTTTTAGCAATTAAACAGATAAATTTTGATTAACGATTTAGGATACTTCCAATAATCTTAAAACATGTGAAAAATTTCAAAGCATTCGATTTTGCAATTTCAAAATAAAATGGTATTACGCACAAGATTTTGATTTTTTTTTCCAAAAATCTAGCTGCTTATATTAAAGACTCAACACCCTATCTACGTGATATTACTAATACACGTACAAAACGTGACAACAATCGATCTAATAGTTTCGGAGATTATCTTTCTAATAAAAATCAACACAGAGGGCGAACAGACAGACAAACAGACAGAAAGACCAAAACGCGAGACCTATTCTTTTCTACTAGGGGTTATGGGACGTCGAGAAAACATGAAAGTACTCAGTCCTTACTTTTATGCTCGAAAAGTAAAAAGTTATTGTCATTAAAATTCATTTCACTGAACGTAATCTAAACTGAAAACACTCAATACTAAAAAACACCTAATAATAAAATCAAAGAATAACAAATACCAATAAACTGTCTGATACAGTCGACAGGTACAGTGGAATATCTGTGTTGGAAACAACGTAAACGTAATACGATTGGGGCAGACAGTGTTTGCTTCCATTAGGTAGTAGCCAAATTACAAGCATGATTAGAGCATGTAAATTGGAGCAATTTAGTATTGTCCGACGAAATCGATTACTTCAGAAACCGCTCACTTAATTTCCTTGAAAGTTTAGGAGCCCGGTTATATCACGACGAGTATGTAATGTAATTGTATCAAAATACATTTAGTCCATCCAAACAACTGATGACGTCATCTCAGCAAATTACCAAATTAGCTTGTAGTAAAAAATAAACCTTGACTTTTTAATTTTTAAAATTTAACTAAATTTATTCCAGTGCCGACAAGAATACAAGAATGCGTACTTGTCCTACCTCTCCGGGCCCACCACCGAGAGTCTCAGCTCGTACTTCAACACCCACAACGCGTACGTCCAGCAGCTGCACGCGACCAACGGCATGTTGGAAGAATACGGGAAGGAGACTCTGCCTTCGCTCCTGCAGGTAAAATTACGGCTCCGGAAACCAGTCCGGCATCTCGTTCCGGACGCCAATCAAATGTCAACCCAAACCAATTGGAGGACATTACCAATTCATCAGCCGCCATTAGCAGGCCTCTCCGCCAACAAAGCGCCGATTATTCCGATTTGACAAGCTACGCGCCGGATATTGCAACGCGACTTCATAAACTCCACTTTTACGATTGATTCGACAATTTAGCAAATAACGCAATTACTCACTTCTCCGTTCGACGATTTTCTCGTGATCCGGGTTGAGAAATGGGCCGTTGCCGATTATGTGTGAGCGGAGGTAGAGATAAATTCAGATTTAGGGGCGAAAACAAAAGGTGGTAGAATTGATTACAGAGTCGCAGAATTGATTGCACTGCCACCGACATAATAGACAAAAGAATGAAGGAAATATGCTTTGGTAATGAAGGGACGATTTGTCCCACGCTGGTTGTGTTTAGTGAGGTAGGAAAAAATCAATGTGACAAGAAAAGTGTACATTTAAAGACGCGTTGCAAGCGTTTTTGCTATGAATGCTTCATCTATAGACTTATCTTAGGCAAATTTTTCAAAGTTTAGTAAATAATTCATTCAATATTTATTTTCTTACGAAAAATCGTGGCATTTCGAAACTCGTTTTATTTGAAAATATTGTTTACAAGTAATCAGAAACATTCCAAACCATTCCACTGCTCGAGCATGTAAAATTTTTTTCTTGTTAGTTCACCTTTCGAGACTGCTTTGTAAAACTTGGAAATAACAATTCAATTTTGAGCCGCTCTAGTAACATTTGTTTCCTCGAAGAAATTTGGATTTATCTCAAGTGCCCTACTTTCAGCCGCGGAATTGGATCAACAAACCCGGAAAACTTAGTCAAATTTATTAGAAGCGGAAATGCCGGAGTGCTGAAAGATTTAGAGTTTCTAATCCTAGTGAGATAGTTTTGACGTGTACTAACTAAATGAGGGATGTTACAGGAGTTGGAAGAAATTTATACGGATTTGTGTGCGGCGGTTTCGGAAGCTGTCCTTCAAGGCGCCGAAGTGGTTGGTTCTAGGGTAAGTTGATGTTTGAAAGGGGAAGTTTATAGTATCGGCGTTACAGAAATTCAGAACCAATTAAGTGAAACCAGTAAGTCAGCTCCACGTGTTGCGAATCCGCTTTTCAGGATGTTGATTGCTTCCTTGCAATATCCGCAAAAAGTCCGTTTTTATTTTCCATGCTCGTGTCGTTACTCAAATAATCCAATCAAAAGTAGCAGATTAAAACCGTTCTTCCAATCAAATCACGTTGATTACCCGATGTTTGAATAGTCCATTGACTTTGCGTAATTAATGTATTCAATGACGTACTAGCAGTCGCCCAATCGAAGTCCAACTGGCTAGCACCACCACCTCCCTCGTGCTACACTTTCTTGCCCGACTCGAACTAATTGCCAAGAAAAATTGAAAATTGATTGAATCCAGTAGACGTCAAAGCGTGCTTTTAGAAACGAAATCCACTTTGTCTGGAATTAACACAGCTGTTGTGGTTTACCTATGATAAAGTAAGATCAAATCGTCAAATTTTAAAATTATCCCTATTTTCGAAAATATCTGTTAATTCGAATAGTGATCTTTAATCGTCTATTGTTTAGCAGTTTTCAACATTTTGAAAAGCGAAAAGCACTTTTTAGTTACAGGTACAATTTTTTTTATGTCGAAAAGTAAATATTGACGTTTGGAGTAAATTATCCTCACAAAGTACTCAACAGATTAGACCAACAAAAGGCTAATCACTGTCGACAAAGTAGCTGCTAGTATAAATAAACCTTTCGGGAAGGGTACTTTATGATCATTGATTAGTTTAATGTTTACGTGGTCTGTTCGGGTTTTTTGTAAGAATAATTTATAGTCAAAGTCAACATTCACTAACGAGGGAGTTTTAATATACCATTTACGACAATCGAAGTTCAATAAATAATTACTTAGAGGTCATTTGACAAATTCTCGGAAAACAGTGGGTCGTGGAGACATTAGATTTTGTTGAACTTTGGAAAGACTATACTAAGTTAGCTTCATAACCAAAAGAGTTTAATTTTTAACCATTCAACAATTGTTACATAATTTTTACTTTTTGAGCGTAAGCTAAGCTCTGTCTGTCTGTCTGTCTGTCTGTCTGTCTTTGTCTGCCGTCTGTCCGAATTTTTATTACTGTTAAATTTTATATGTGTATTAGGAATATCGTGTAGATAGTAAAACGCTAAGCATTTTTTAAGGTTATCATAATCATTGTAAACCGTTAATCAAAATTTATTCGTCTGTCCCCCTTGAAAAATTGATAACGTCATCTCAAAATTTTGGCGAATAAATCCTCTCTGAAATATGGAAAATATTATGACTCTATAATTATTCCGGTTTATCACTGCACTCATAGACTTCAGAATTATTTATACAGGGTGACTCAAAAAAATCAATAAATGAGACAATTTATTATATTGATTAAAATTAACGACTAACTCCATTTTCTCGAAATTTTAGAAATACAGTACTGTTATCCTTAGTATTACACTGCATCTATCCGAATTGATGTACGTGGAAAGCATTTATTTATTTTATTTTAACGTATGAAAAAATTAAACTCACAAACTATATATTATTTTTCGAAAAATCTGGCTTTGGTTACCTTCGACCAATTTTTTCATATCACATCTTTCGTTTTTCGTTTTTTCAACTTTAAATTTTTCAATTTCTCGACTTCCAAATTTTTTATTTTTCCTTACTTCAATTTTTGGTTTGCAATTTTTCGTTATTGCAATTTTTCATTCTTCGATTTTTCGGCTTTTAAATTTTTAATTTTTCGATTTTTGAATTTTTCGCTCCCTCAATTTTTCAAGTTCTTGATTTTTATTTTTCATCCCCCGATTTTTTTATTTTCATTTTCTCGATTTTATATCACAATGTTTCAGTTTTTCATTTCCTTAATTTTTTCAACGTTTCTTTCGATTTTTATTTTTACGCTTATTAAAATTTTCAGTTTTTGATTTTTCAATTTCGCGAGTTTGCAATTTTTCAATTTTGCAATTTTTGGATTTCTCAATTATCCGATTTTCCGATTTCTTTAATTTTCAATATGTAGTTCGATTTACAAAATTTAGTTTTTTCGATTTTGCGCTTTTTACATTTTTAAGTTTCTCAATTTTTTATCTTTCGATTTTTCAATTGTTCATTTGTTTAATTTTTCAAAGTTTTCATTTTATACTTTTTCGTAACTCCATTTTTGATTTTTCAATGTAACAATTTTGCAATTTTGCAATTTTTTTTATTCGAAAAGTCGAAAAATCCAAAAACTGAAAGGTCGAAAAACTGTAAAATCGAAAAATTGCAAATCAGACAAAATGAAGAAATGAAAAACTGAAAAAACGGATTGAAGAATCGGAAAGAAAAAACGAATCGAATAAAAAAATTGGAAAACAGGAATTGTAAAATCGCAAAATTGTAGAACCGTCAAAATTGTGAAGTCGAAGAACTGTAACACAAAGATTTAAAAATTGAAAAAGTAAATATCGAGAAATTAAAAAATTTAATATCGAAAAATTGAAAAGTCGAACAAACAAAAAAATTAAAATCAAATAACCGATAACTATAATTTATTGCTAAGAACATATTTAAAATGAATACTAGAAAAATTCCAAATCAAAAATCGAGAAACTGAAAAATCTAAAATTAACGAAACGAAAAGTTAAAAAATCTAAAAGTTGAAAAACCAAAAAAATTGAAAAATCCAAAAAACTGAAAAATTTCACAATGAAGAAAAGAAAAATCATAAAATTATATTTTCTAATTTTGTCAATGTTTCTTTCGATTTTATAATTTTTCAAATTTTCCATGTTTGAGTTTCCAGTCACTCGATTTTCCAATTTTTAAATTTTGTAATTTTGAAATTTTTGGATTTCTCCATTACTCGATTTCCCATTTCTTTAATTTTCAATAATTCGTTGTTAGAATATTTCGTTTTTTCGATTTTAAAGTTTCTTAGTCAGTTTTTTATATTTCGTTTTCTCCATTATTCAAATTCTTGAATTTCAATTATTAGATTTTTCAACGTTTTAAATTTTAAATCCAATAATCGACAACTACAATTATTACTAAGTACCTACATATTTAAAATGAAAACTAGAAATATTCAAAATCAAAAATTAAAAAAACGAAATATTGAAAAATCGGAAAACTGAAAAATCTAAAATTAACAAAACGACAAATTAAGAAATCTAAAAGTTGAAAAAACGAAAAATTGAAAAATTGCAAAATCAAAAAAAAAAGAAAAATTATAAAATCATATTTCCTTATTTTGTCAATGTTTCTTTCGGTTTTAAAATTTTTCGCTTATTCAGTTTTTCAAATTTTACATCTTTGATTTTATCAATTACTCGATTTTCCGATTTTTTCAATTTTCAATCATTCGTTTTTAGAATATTTTGTTTTTTCGATTTTAAAGTTTCTCAGTTTTTAATATTCCGATTTCTCGATTATTCAAATTCTTGATTTCCAATTAGTAGATTTTTCAACAAGGCGGAAAAAATTAAAAAATCGAAAAACTGAAAAAACGAGAAATTGCAAAATGTATAAAGTATAAAATCCAAAAATTGCAAATGAAGAAGCGAACAATTGAAACAATGAAAAAGTTAAAATCGAAAAACCAAAAAAATATGAATGTATCCAAAAATTGGAAAGAAGAAAAAAGAATCCAGTTGAAAAATTAGGAAACCCAAAAATTGTAAATTCGAAGAAATGTAGAAACGTCAAAATTGTAAAATCGAAAAACTGTAACATTGAAAAATTGGAAAATTAAATATGGAGAAATTTAAAAAATGGAAATCGAAAACTTAAAAATCGAAAAATTGCAAAATAGAAAAAATTAAAAAGTTTTAAAATCCAATAATTGAAAGATGGAAACGTTCTCAAATTATAATTGTTATTGGTATGACATATTAAAAATAAAAACTTGAAAAATTGTAAATAAAAAATTGAAAAAACGAAAAACGGAGAACTCTAGAAACTAAAGAATCTAAAATAAAAAAAACGAAAAATTAAAAAATCTAAAAGCTGAAAACCGAAAAATTGAAAAATACAAAAATTGAAAAATTCAACATTGAAAAAAGAGAAATTACTAAATCAGGGTATCGAAAAACCTAAAAATGGAAGAAATAAAGACAATAAAAACCGAACGAAATATTGCAAAACGAAAATTTGAAGAAATAAAAAAATGAAAAATCGAAAAATGGAAAAATCGAGAAACTGAAGAATGTGAAATTGCAAAAACGAAATATTTAAAACTCTAAAAGTAAAAAAAACGACAAATTGAAAAATGCAAAAATTAAAAAATTTAATATTGAAAATAAAAGAAAAATTATAAAATCACGACATTGAAAAACCGAAAAATGGGAGAAATAAAGAAAATAAGGAACCGAAACGAAAAATTACAAATCGAAAATTTGAAAAAATAAAAACTTGAAGAATCGAAAAATTGAAAAATTAAACATTTAAAAATCCAAAAACAATTTGCGCTTTTTACATTTTTAAGTTTCTCAATTTTTTATCTTTCAATTTTTCAATTTTTCGTTTCTTTAATTTTTCAAGCTCTTGTTTTCCAATTTTTTATTTTATACTTTTTCGTAACTCCATTTTTGATTTTTCAATTTTACAATTTTGCAATTTTACAATTTTTTTTATTCGAAAAGCCGAAAAATCCAAAAACTGATAGGTCGAAAGTGTGTAAACTCGAAAAATTACAAATCAGAAAAATAAGGAAATGAAAACCTGAACAAAAGGATTGAAAAATAGGAAAGAAAAAACGAATCGAATCAAAAAATTGGAAAACACAGGAATTGTAACATCGCAAAATTATAGAATCGTCAAAATTGTAAAGTCGAAAAACTGTAACACAAAGATTTAAAAATTGAAAAATTAAATACCGAGAAATTCAAAAATTTAAAATCGAAAAATTGAAAAGTCGAACAAACAAAAAAATTAAAATCAAATAATCGACAACTATAATTATAGTTGTCGATTATTTGATTTTAATTATAGTTGTCGATTATTTGATTTTAATTATTACTAAGTACTAATTTAAAATGAAAACTAGAAAAATTCCAAATCAAAAATTCTCTCATACGCAGGGCTAAGGCGTAAAAACTCATGAAATTGCAAATCGGAACATTTAAAAATCTAAAAACAACCAAAAATCCAAAATTTGGAAAAGTGAAAAATTTAAAAATGAAAACTTGATTTACATTTCGTAAAATTGAAGAAACAAAAAAATTAAATTGAAAAGTTGCAGATCGAAAAATTGAAGAAACGAAAAATTGAAAAAATTGAGACTGAAAAAAACAAAAAATTATAAAATCGAAATATTGAAAAATCGAATAATTGTAAAAAAAACAAAACAGAAAACTGGAACGAAAAAGTGACGCATGAAAGAACCGAAAAATCGAAAAATTAAGAATTGAAAACGTGAAAAATTTTAAATCGAAAAATTGTAAAATCTTAAAATTGAAAAATTCAAAGTTGGGAAATTGAAAAACCGAAAAATTTGATCATGATAACTCGAAAAATTGCAAATTGAAAAACTGAAGATTCACAAAAATTAAAAACTGAAGAACTGAAAAATTCAAGTCAAAAAAGCTGCGAGAGTGTTATTTACGTCACTGGTTGTAACTTTATAGAGATCATCAAACAACAAAGTCCTAAAAAAAATTTATAATTTTTCAAAGAAGCGAAATTTGTTGAGCTGTACTTCAAAGGGAAGTTCTGTCGAAATAACCTTAGGCCAATGTTTAATATGGTCTTGGTCTTTAAAGGACCCTAAATTAAACTCCTGGTACTTTCTAAAAAATAGAATAACAAATAATATACTTAACAAAATAGTAGCAGCTTCTGAGTGGTCCCAAATTCGCCAAAACTATTTTGGTTACAAAATAGCTTTCCATAGACAAAACTCCCACAATTACCGGCAACAAATAACAAGTCTCCACAACCGTTTCCTCCACTCATTATTTCACAGGCAATGGAACAGTGCAGGAGGTACGAAGGCCTCGTTTCGCAATGCAAATCCGTCTCAGGATCGTCGGATTTGGCCCACTTATCGCGATCTTTACCCACTCCTACAGGCCGTCCTCCCGTCCTTAAGAGGCCGTTCGTTCCACCTCAACCGCCTCCACCTCCGGATCCCGTTGACGGCGAACCGCAGGACATGCAAAACGTAAGTTAGCTAACGACCATAAGACGGAAATAACCCGAATTAATCTTCAGGATAACATCCCGCCGCCACTCAAGGACGAACTCGTGATAGATCGACTATCAGCCGTTCAAGTCAAGCCTTCTCATGACGTCTTGAGAAAGGAAGCGGCTGACTTGGAGGCGCAAATCAGACAGATTCAAGACGCCCTGGAAACTTTAGTGAGGATCCAGCAACGATCGGTCGAGGCGGCGCTCTACAATAAAGCCAACGAACTCCAGGAGGACATCTCGATGAAGAGGTTCGATCTGAGGGTGGCGCAGATACACCTCAGCGCGATTAATGCTCAGGTAAAGGAAATGTACAAACTCAATTTTTGAAATAGGATAGGTTTTTAGTCTTCGGAGACCTAAACGAGCAAAGACATAAATATTGAAGTTAACGAAAGTGATATTTTATTCGAGCTTTTAAGCTTTTAAAAGACGGTAAAAATTTTCATCGCATTGAGTACACACGAATGCTTAAATTGTTGTTATACACGGTTTTTATAAATGATTTTAAGGGCGCATTAACGTTTCTCAAGTTATTACAGTAATTCTCGTTGATCCAAGCTTGTTTTTGTGCTAGGAAGTACAAGTATTTTTTAATAAGATAGGAAGCATTTAGGCAACCAGTTATATAGATGCGTGTTGTATTTGTCATCAGTCTTTGGGCATTTAGTAAAGTCCAAAAGTGAGAGGGGACACGTTTCCACGCTCCTTCGAACCTATGATCATTTATAGAAACCTTGCGCTTCAGTGGTTACTGAATGTATTAAATAATAATAATAATACTAATAATAATAAGTTTGTAGAATTTGGAAATCAAAACAGGATTATTTTTGTGTGTGAGCAAATCAAATTTTTTGACAGAAATCCGTCTTTTACAACTATTAAAACCTAAATTCGACTAAAAGTGATGTCTTCAAATCACCAGATTTTTTTATTCTTGTCGTTTAAAATTTATTACAAAAGTTACGGACGCGAAGACACTTTTCAATGAGTTTATCGTCTTAAAATAAATAAAACAATTTTCCATTATAGATCTTCTTTTTAGTTTGACAGATAATGTATAATTCGAGCTTTTCAACATTGAAAAGTTCGAGCTTGGTTGGACGTTAAAAACCCATCATTGTGCTTTTTAAGTCGCAAAACAACAAGTTGTGAAATAAGTGATCTCAGGTCAAACGGATCCATTTAAAGACGTCCAGACGAAGAAAAAACGGTCAAAGCACACCTATTCCAGAATTCTCGGAATGGACCGTCCAATAGTCACGTTAGGTCGAAAACAGACCCAAGTTATTCCAATTAAAGTCCGAGTTCCGACCCTCCACAAACCTTCGCAAGGAAGAAGATTAAAATGTCTCTCGTCCCGCCTAAACCTTTAAAATATGTGCATTATAAAGACTGTTCCGCTTTTTAACGCGATTAACTCCGCGGCAAGCTTGTAGGTTTTCGAAACCCCCATCCACGTATTTATCGATGTTTGAACCCAACATCGACAGACGCCAAAAAAGCTTATTAATTACCCATCCAAAAACAGCGTTTTTCGCATTTCGTTCGACATCCTGGCATTAAATTGCAAATTGGTTCCGGCGGAAATGTAATCCCCCAAACCAGTTTTAATAGCGAGTGAAAATGAAAACCGAAAAATCAACAAAACAATTGAAAGAAACGCAAAACAATTTAGTCGAGCTTTCGTAAAAGCTCGTTCGCGCCCGGAGTTTCAACGTGAATTGATGAAGCTTTCGGGTGCGCAGAAACCGGTCTGCGCACCGAGGATTATCAATACACCTCGGGCACAGCTAAGGTTAACTGTGACAATACGTTTTACAAAATTTGTTTAACTGAATACCGACGTTTCGACTCTCACGGCTGTGATATTAAAAGTCTGCCATATAAATCGATCGTTTGGTGTTTTCAGTGTCGAATTCGTTGTAGTTCCGGAAAACACGCGTTCGTGAAGCGCGGGATTCTCAAAAGCTCAAATTGTTAAGTTTTCGGGAAAGTCTTTAGTGTACCATGGGCTGGGTGACGATCAAAGCCCACTTGGTAAGTCAATAATTGAGAGTCGTAAACATATGGTATTGATTGTTTTGCTTTTGTGTTCATGGAACTATTATTGAGGTCAGGTGACGGTTCGGCCGGTTTGAGTTGACGTGATGTTTCAATGTTGGGGATTTATTTTAACACTGACAAAAAATGAATGTTATTAAAAAAGGATTACGCGGGAGCTCGGGATCACGAAAATAATCTCCCCCGAAAAAAAAGTGTTGATGGCATGTTCAGCCACCGAGTGACATTATCGCGAAAATTTATCTACATACAGATTCCAGAATATAACCAAGAAACCTTCCCGTAGTTAATACTGTTATCAATTAATAGGGTTCTGTAATCATTTGTCTGATAAACTGTCGTAGTTAAAGTTTAATTAATGAAATTCCTCGGGTGTGCAAAGTACATGAATGGATGACATTTAGATCCTCCTCTCCAAGCTGGCGGTTTCGATGGAATATAATCTACAATTAATTTGTAGTTTATTATCCCATGGAGTTTTAATAGACTCACATACAATTATTATTAACGTGTCATCAAAAGTTTCTGACCAAAGTGTACCCTTTAGATGAGAAAACTTTTTGATCACATGCTATAGCCATAAATAAAACGAATTATTATTAAACTCCATGGATGCGTAAACAGCTAATTCGTTACAAAAAGTTTCCACTGACACTCTTAGATCTGTCTTTGTCGGTATCACCTATGTCAGTTGCGAACAGAACAAGACCTAACAGGCAACCTTGTCGTACCTTTTTATTACAGTTGTCTTTTCACAATATATCGTCTAAAATCAACATTTGTCTCGTTTTCAGAAAGAACTTTTCACCCATAAACTCGAAGGCGATACCGGTCGGGAAAGAAAAATGTCTTCGGCGTCGACGGCAAGCATGAAAAATAAATGGCTGAAAGCTTTTAAGAGTTTAAAAACTCCACCTCCAGAAAACACGGAGAAGTAAGTAGCTCTCTTCATTGCCGCTGGCCATTTCATTATTAATTCAAGCAATTACAGTAGTTTGTGTCAGTTTTTTTCTGATAGAACTTCGTTGATTCAATGACAAGTTTTTCTAATCTTTTCATTGGAAGCAGCTTCATCCCGACGTTAATCACTTTAGGAAGTTCGATGAGCCTGCTTCCAGCCTTCAAAGTAGATTTGTTTTAACCGTTATTGATGTTTGTTTTCAAATACAGAAAAAACCAAATGTACCATGCAGTTTCTACGATAATTGCAATGAGGTAAAGGTGTCACGCAATGTTAGATCACTTTTTGTTGTCACTCTCTTTCATGCTTCATCCTGTACATACACCACCACCCCTCATTATTAGCTTCAAAGCTCCACTTCGAAAAGCAATTTCCCGCAAAATCAATTTCGAACGGCCGTCTCAAAAGTATTTCTTTATCAACTGACCCAATCCCTGTTACGAATCAATTCCAGCGAATTTAAAGAGATCACGGCGGAGGGATTTGACGTGAAACGGGCGCTATTAAGTCAAGCTTTGTTTATTTCCAAACCGGATTTGCTCGACTGCCGTCCCATCCAAACATTATCCTACGGGATTCGCTATTATGCCTATTCCATTACTCAGTACACTATTATCATGTCTAGGAAAATTAAGAGAAACGGCAGACAATTCGACCAACGTAGATCCTCCACAGAAAACTTTGTTTAACAATTCTTTCAACATGTTGAAAACACAAAGGACAACATTTTCAACATTTTTTACAAAAGAGAACAATATACAATTCTTGTATAAAGTTTCATTTCTCGCAAAAATAATGCTGTGAGAATGTGATAAAGTTTGTAATAATACTAACAAAAACATTATGAATTTTCATTGCGAGGAAATATTTTGCCTATTTGGTGAAATATTTCATTTAGAATTTCATTTCTTGATACAAGAAATAAGAACGAACAAAAAAAGTTCGCGTTACTACCTTGTTATAAGATACAAACCAGGTAGATATGACCAAAGCTCGTTAATCCACATACTTCAAACAATATTAAACGTGATTTTGTTTGAATTATAAATATTAACCTGTATTAAAAGAATGTTTAGACGAAATTCTGTGTCAGAATCGCTGGTCGCATTTTGTCTAATTTTCCCTGACTCCATCGTCAGCTTGCATCTCCATTATTGCGTTTGCACATATTAGCTGAACACCCTGTACCACCACTACAGTACGTATAGCTTTTTCTATGTCTAGAATAGTTCGATGTTTTTGTGTTATCGCAAGCGCCGTCAAAGCAAAAATTCGTTCGTAACGCAAGAATTCCTCCTGCGTACGGAGCGAATTCCCCTAGAGCTAATTTTGATAAGTTCGTCGTGTTTAGGAAAAACGGCTCCGCTGCCACCAGGGAGCTGCTGAAAGGAGACCCAGATGCTCATAACTTTCAAGAGTATACATACAAGAAAATTACGCCCTGCGATGTATGCTCGCAAGTGTTAAGGGGTGAGTAAACACTAGATAGCTCAAAGCTATCGACGAATGCTGACTGATCTTTTATTAATTATGCCCGAAATTGCGGCTTCCGCCGCTACACAATGCAGCAATTCATCCCCATGTTTGGCTTGATGTGATAATCTGTCTCTATTAAGCTAGCATGGTACGCAATCTAGCGACTTACAAGAGCTCATTAATTTCTTGTCTCGTTGCGAAACTATTTCGCGGATTGCTAGTGCTGGAATTGCGATGGGGATAAATAGGCCTTTTGTTGGCGAGGAAAATGAACTTTAACGCAAATTTAAAACATTGTGGAGTGCGTCACTCGGTTCGTTTTTTGTTTTGTCTTCTTTGTACACCGTGGGCGTTTTGAATCTTTTATTTCGTCAAGCCAAACGAATCATTGAAATGTTTATTCGTAAAAGTCATTCGACGAAGTAGTCATAAAACGTGTCTAGCTGGTAACTTAAAGGTAATAAGTCTATATTTTTCGGATCACTTGTTGTTGTGTAAGTTGGCACGAACTGCCCATAGCAATAACTCGAGTTCCGCTGAAATTATACGATGTGGAAACTATTAACAAAACTTGTCCCTTGCAGTTAATTTGTTTGTAAGTTTGACCATGATTATTATGAGCCAATATGTTTGTTTCCGCCGCTAAATTATAAGTTACAACCGTGTCACTGAAGTTAGACTTCAAGTCCAAAATAGCTCTTCAACAGATCTCCTATGAACTTGACGATAAATATATTGTTACGAAAGAAACCCATACGCCGCCCCGGTACGACGGCTATGGGTTCTAGTATGTACGGCGATTATAGGTGACTTATCGTCGGTGACGGCGGCGAGCGGTGTTACCTAAAGAAAAGCCTGAAGTGAAAGTCGCGATGGGTCTTCCAGAAAGACCTCGACTGCGTAACTTCTAGAAGAAAACGAGATTATTCAGTCGGGTGTGGAGAATCCAGCGACGTTAGTCGTGTAAATTTGAATTAGTAAGAAATAAATTGTTGAGTTGTACCCACGCCGATTTTAATCACCGATCAACGTAACAATATTATTATTATCATCAGATAATTTTTGAGAACCAGATTACTCTTCTCGACTATTTCCCATTCCGGGAATACATTTAAGGCGGAGTTCGCGAGCTCTTTGCACTTTTTATCACGGCAGCGCAGCAACAAACACTTCCAGCTCACGTTTTATTGACAAAGCTAAACAGCACAATACATCGCAAACATAAAGCTCTCAATAAACATGTAGACTATTTCCGCTGCTACTATTTGTTCTGATTTCTGGAGTAATTCCAACAAAGTAGTTCTCCCGCGAATCGTGCCCGATTCTATTATTCCTTTGTCCTTTTCAGGGCACACGAGACAGGGTTTGAAATGTAGAATATGCAAGATGAACGTCCACCTCGACTGTCAGGACAAAGCATCCAAGTGTCAAACGAAAGCCAGGCTGTTGAGGAGGCAAAAGTCGACGTCTGAAATCGAGACCCGTATCCAGGACGGTGCCGGCGAAGACGAAAGTAAGTGACTTAGACGTTGTCCCACCTCTCGGAAGGTTCCGCTTGACAATGAACTTTTAATATATTTATAGAAAAAAATGAAATGTATTCAGGGATGCCAACAATTAACAGGCAATTGTCGATCAGGGATAACAACAGACTGTACCCGCCCCCCAATGCCGTCATAGGTACAAAAACAGACGTGTTGGGTGTACTTAACGCTTCGATCATCAATTAACCCACAGTCCGGCATCTGAGGCACAAGAAATGGTCTGAGTGTTTGCTAGAAGGCACAGCCAAGATTACCGAACCCGATACCGTTTACTTCTTATTCTGGTCATAACTAGTACAAAATTATTAAAAACGAACTCAAAATCGTCTATAAGAGCGAGTTTTCAAAAATTAAGAAGCTTCTCATACAGAATACTTTTTGTAACACTGAAATGGCATACGAGAAGCTTGTTAGCAAAAGAAACATTCGCTTTATTAAATTAAATTGTGTCATAAGAAATATCCAGTTACAACTATAGAAAAACTGGAGTTTCAGGTCCAACGTGTGTCGAATTCTAGCAAATTGAAATAATGGTAAATTTTATAATTCTTGTGTTTTTACAGATGCAGTAATCGCTGGCTGTGCTCTTATACAAATACTAAGACTAAGACCCTTTTTGGGTAAATTTTAAGCTTCAGACCCCGTACTGGCGAGGCGAATCGCAAGCGTGCCCGCTTCCGATTTTCCTTCGACTAAAACATGTCCATAAATCGCTTACGCCTTCGTGCCCGAAATATAATTGAAAAACTTTCCCAGAGAGTCCGGAAGTGGATCAAATATACCAAGTGTTGAAGCAGGCGACGGAAATTTCGAATAGCAAGCCACGCGTTAACGTGGAGCCCGCTCCACCCGGTATAACGGTGGACAGATCCGCCAGCTCGAATCCGGGGAGTTCGGGCAGCTCCGGGCAAAGCCTTAACCGTAGGCCGGGCCCTCCGACTCAGCCTTCTAGGGCTATCGGCTCCAGCTTAGCCGTTATCAATCCTGCTCCTTGCTCCACTAGCTCAGGTTTGTCCATGAATAGGGCTTACGACGTCGCGTTACGCCTTTCTAGGCTAATTATGCATGCTTTTCCGTTTTTCCAGTCCTTCACGTACGGTCCTGAGTTCCTCTAGATCTGGGGGGTTCACTTTTATGGCACCTTTGATTCTGTTTTTGCGTGGCAAGCAGCGATGGGCGCGAGGGAACGCTTCAAAATGGGGCGACAGGGACATGAAAGATGTACGTTGGTACAGGCCGGAAATCCGCGAGGTCAAAATTTTCAAGGCGAGTGTTATGGAGAAATTCTTTAAACCGAAGATACGAAATCCGGAAACAGGGAGGATTTCAATATAAATTAAAATTTCTGGACTCTGATTAGATAAAAAAAATCTCTTGAATATCTTTCAAAATTTAGTCTGCCACTTTAAATTTCCGCGACTATACTAGTTATTTGAATGATAGAATTTGTAAAACTGATTTGTACCCTGTAAATATTTTAATTCATAAAAGAATTACTCCATAACTTGTTCATATTTGGATTTGGTTGGTAGCTACTGTAAATTTTCACATGATCGGAAATTCAAAGTCATAGTAGGATAAGGAAACTACGGTGCTCTGATTAAAAAATCATTTAGATGAATAGAATCCCAGCAAGTATTACTAACTTCTAATATATAGGATTATTGAAAGGGGATATTTTCCTTAATCCTATAAGTGAAGTATATTATATTTTAGACAAAGGGGCAGCAAGAGTTGCACACATATTACCTCAAAAATTTAAATCAGTTTGTACTTTACTTTAAGTAAAATGTTTCTTTAGCACAGAGATATTGCAGACATCGACATTGTAGGTATTAGTAAACAACAATCACGTACATACACGTAAACAAATCATGAGCACTCCAGTTCCCCCATTTCCACTATCGCTTTCGACTTTTCGCGTGTTTTCATGCCCTTTCCGAGCTGTCGTTCGAAACCTCTCGAACACTACGATCGCCTTTCCAAACAAAACATACATTTCGGATTTCCCGACTCGTAGAGTAAACAAGTCAGTTTCCGCGTAAATTCCCGTCGGCACCAGGTAAGTAGGGAAATGCATCAGCTTGTCGCAATGTCATCTCATCACCATCTTGCCCCTTCTAACAGCGCCACATCCCGGACCCAGATCCGCCGATGTGCGTTCTCAACAAACACCACTAACACAAATTTCACTAACACGACGAGTGCGTTAACACGTGTGTTGACACGATTTTTTCTGAAAACTTTGAGATTGTAATGAGAGTTGGCCGTTTCTGCAACCGTTGTTGTACATAATTCAGACCGCAGACCAGGAGCCCCAGGCACCTCCGAAAGCTCGTCGATGAGGCGTCGTCTTTTCGCTGGAATGAAAAGCCTGACCGGCTTTGGCTCGCGGTCCCGGCACGGTTCTCCAGGTCATCGCTCCATCTCTCTGCCGGAAAGTACGCGGCTTTATGATTTTGATGTCTTGTATGGCCGCGGCCTGACGACCTGTCGCACGACCGTCGCACGACAGGTCCTCGCGCCGTGGGGCGTTTTAGTTTTGTAGTAGAGTGCTCGCAGAATTTTGCCCGAGGGTGTTGAGGCCCGTATGACACTACATTAAATCTAAAACTAAAATGACCACGACTTGTACCGTGGAAATAAAAATCGTCATCATTGATGGTTCTATAGTACAAGTCGTATTGGCCATAACCTTTAGTTAGTTTTGAATTCGATGTCGTGTCATGTGTGTCTTAGAGGTAGAAATCTCTTATCCCTCGATAAGCTACAAAAATCTTTACGGTTAAAAAAAATGCATGAAAAATTACGTTGATCTTGATACCTGAAGGATATTAAGGGGAAGAAAAATTATTGCCACTGATTAGTAAGTTTAGAAACATAAAAAAAAAGATATTTCCACACTCTAATCTTCGGAGGCCCTTCGAGCTGCTACTCGTTAATAAATAAAACTCTAAAAACAAAACGTTTTAATAACCCCTTTTGCGGTGGATTTTTGTAGCTTGTCCCGGTGATCTAAATTTCACTTCAAAATGCCTCCGGCGCGCCAACTAATAGGAGCACTCTACTATGGCTGGAGAGGGAATCCACACCGGTCCCGCCATCGGGGCAAGCTTTGGCCGCTGCTGCACAGAAGTGTTATGTTTGGTGTGCTCGCTGGACACCCTCGCGAATGCTGGATGTTCCCCTCCGTGCTTCCTTCCACATGCTTACAGCAGTAGATGTGCTTCGGCAGCTCCATGCGACAGTTTTCCCTGATTTCGGCACAGATCCAGTCCAATCGAACAGTTCTTGGGGCGTTCGGGGACTTGTCGATCAATGCGAAACGTATCAGTCGGGGAATTTTAGAAAAGTGAGGGAGAGGTATATTAGTAAATGGAAAGTTGAAAAGCCTATGCTGGATATGGGAAATCACGGAGAGGCAAAATAAATTTTGACCTCGATTCTAAATCAATGTGGAAGGGATTCTTTAGATGATTGCAGATAACGTTGAACTCTGGAAGGTATTCGAGAAAGTTCTTAAGTTATGTGGAAAATTCAGGAAACGTTTTTACCAAATGAGCGCCGGAGGGTCAATCGATTTAAAATCGAAAAAACTTCAAGCTTGATGAAACTGGTTTTTTATTTATGGACTTTTAACTTTAGTGAGAAAAAATGTAGATGGCAGTTACCGAGCATCACTCATTTTAAAATTAAAACTAAAATATAAAGCTTTTTTCCAAATATATATGTACGAGAAGTGTAAAAAAATGTTGCTTTACATACATGCAACGAAATGATACACAAATACGTTCAAACTGGTGGAATTCGAGCTGTACAAACAAATTTTTTACTAACAAACTATACCAGTATCTTTTTTTTAACCAAAGCTATAATTTCTTATTCTATATTTTAAAACAATAAAACTAATTATAAAAATAATAAAAATTATTTGCTCAATAATTCAATTTTTTGTAAAAATATACAGGGTGTTCAAAAGTAGCACACCAACTCAACGGTTCATTGTTAAGTTCATAAATCTAAATTCGGCGGAAATCATTAAAAAATTCTTTATGTCAATTTGACGTTCAGTTACAAAAACAAAATATCGATTAAAAAAGATATATCAAAAAAGGTGAAAAATTCGCCACTGTTTTGAATAATGAAAATCCGATCGATTTCCGGTACACAAAATAGTGCATTAAAATATGGTGGAATTTCGAAAAGAAAAATTAGACTTTGAAGGGCTGTATCGTTTACATTTGAACAAAAGAATTTTTAAATTATTTTTTCTCTCCTTCATAAAGGCTCCAGAACACCGTGTCATAGATTTGGTGCACAATTTTTTGAACACTCGGTCAAAATAAAGTAGGACACTTTTCTTTCCCCAGTGTAACTTTCAAATTTTTGTTGTTTAAATGTCAGTTTCAATTGAGTCCAGTTTACACAACTAAATTTTTCGAATATAATCCTTTCAAGAGGTGTCCTACTTTATTTTGACCAGCACTCTATATTCAGGGTGTTTCTTTTATTTGATACAACCCCTGTAATTTTTTTATTCTGAATGATAAACCTGTAGTTCTTGGAGCAAATTTCTATCATTTTAAAAGATCTATGTGATGGCAATCTCACATTTTTATTATCAGTTCCGGTAGAACCGGAAATGACGTCAATTTATTTATTTTATGAAATACTAGGCGTATTTTTTCATAAGTGGAAAGATTGATTTTTATTCCCCTAGCGTAAGCTAATGAAGTATATCGAGTTCATCGGCCGAATTGCCACTTTCATATTTTCCGTCTGTCTGTCTGTCTGTCTGTCTGTCTGTCTGTTTGTCTGTCCGTCTGTCTATCTGTCTGGTGTCTGTATCCATTTTTATTAGACAAGTAATCTCCGAAACTACTGGACCGATTTTTGTGACATTTTGTATGTATATTAGGAATATCATGTAGACAGTCAAACGCTAACTAAAATTTAGCTAATCATCTCCAAAATTTATAATAAAAAGTTTTTTAAAATTTCATAAAATAAGATACTCCTGCACTTGTGGTGTGTGAATCCGTGTTGAACTTTCATCATAGACATCCAGAATTTTTGGAAAAAGTTCGAAACTGAATAACAATATTTTGCAATATAAGTTTGAAACTGCAAAACCGATTGTTCTGAAATCTTGTAAATATTTTAAAGTTATCGTGCTCATGGTAAATCGTTAAGCAAAATTTATTCGTTTATCCCCTCTCAAAAAATTGATGACGTCATCTCAAAATTTTGCCGAATAAATAATATCCAAACTGTGCAAAATGTGATGAGTCTACATTTGCGATTTATCATTGCATTAAAAGTTTTTAAATTTCTTATACAGGGTGACTCATAAAAATTCAAAAATGAGTCAATTTATTTTATAGATTAAAAATAAATTGACTCATTTTTGAATTTTTAAATCGGGAACAGTTCAATCCGTTTTCCGGAAAATTTGGAAATACAATATTGTTATCATTAGTATTACACTGCATCTATCCAAAGTTATATATGTATCTTTGCAAAAATGTTGATGACGGCATTACACAATTTTGTTAAGGGAAAACTCATTTGGAACGTACGCCTAGCACGTTTCTTTACATATATTTTAACGTTACATACATATATTTGTTTTAACTTATAAGGGTTCTCACAAAAAAAAAATTCGTATTATAAAATTTTATAATTTTTCTAAAAAGTTGGATTTGTTTTATTGTATTTCAAGGGCGATAACTTTCGACCAATTTTTTTGTAAAAATCAAAAGCAACCAATATTCTAAAATCAATACTTAAAAAGTTATTCAATAAAATAGACGAAAAATTCATATTTATTAATTAAAATCTAGTATCTAGAAAGATTGACACTCGTGTCATTTATTCACATAACTGATCTTTTAAAATGATACAAATTTGCTCAAAGAATTATGTTTATCTTAAAAAATAAAAAAGTAACAGGGGTAGTATCAAATAAAAGAAACACGTGGTACCTATATATAAATATATACAGGGTG